CTTAGATCATTTGTTAGTATTATTAAGTAAAGTTCCTCGAAACATTTGCTAATTTACAAAATAATTTCTAGAATTCTATATTATTCTAAGAAAGGTAATTAATAAGACACTTTCTAGCATTCTAAATCCTTCTAAGACAGATTATTAACATAGAAATTCGTAAACCATCTTTTCTCAGAAAGTTGCACCAACTCAGAAAACTGTCAGTGGACTAAACTTCCTGGATTGACATGAAGATGATTTTGGAAGTGTTATGAATAACTAGGAAATTTAGAGTACCCATGGATATCAATAGCCTGGATGAAGAGAATAGGATTTCTTGAATTATAAAAACATCAGTCCTTTTTGGGCCATGATGTTGTTGTTGGTGTGGAGTTTGAGTGGAAACGAGGGCCTAACTCATTTGGGAAATAAATATTGAACGAGGTGACTATTACAAGGTCAAATAAATTTTTTCATACAGCTTAATTGTAATTTTCTATTCATCCTTTATTTTCCCACAAGATAACTGTATTGACGATCTTTCTGCTTAATATTAAATATCAACATGTTTGATATTTAGAGCATGATCTCTAACACAAGGAGCTCACATTCTAAAGACTTGCTTTAAAAATGACCTTCCTTATAAATATGTACCTGTTTTATCTACTTTATTTTTTATCTTTTTAATTTTTTTACATGGTGGGTACGTAGTTGAATTTTTTAAGCGGATCATTTAAGACTTGGTATATTGACTGGTAAGACTGATACATATGGGTTTGAATCTGCCACGTATTTGAAAATGAAACTGAACAAGTCCCATAATCTTACTGAGCATCAGGTTCCTCACCTATAAAGTGATAAACTTATGATACTTAACTCCTAGGGCTGAACAGAGTAAATATGTGAAAGAGTTGGCATGCAGTAAAAGTTCAAAATTTTACCTCTTCTTTTTGGTAGATTAAGAAAAAATAAGACAAACTCGGCTGGTATGGCTCAGTGGTTGAGCATTGACCTATGAACCAGAAAGTCAGAGCTCAATCCCCAGTTGGGGAGGGAGGGGGCATGCAAGGAGGCAGCCGATCAATTACTCTCATTATTGGTGTTTCTCTCTCTCTCCCTCTCCCTTCCTCTCTGAAATCAATAAAAATATATTTAAAAGAAAATATAAGACAAGAGATATGATTTTTAAGGTATATTTTTGAGAAAGTAGGGAAGATACAAAATATAAAGGGGGTTAAGTATACTTAATCATGTCAGCTAGAATGCTTCTGAAATATGGTAGTGATTATGTAAACAGAACAAACTTGAAGAATCCTGAAATTCAATGTTAACAGGTTAGAGACCTGGGGGAGGGAATGGGGCGGGGGCAGGTCAAAAAGGAGGGTCACAATCACAAAAACAAAAGTTAAATAAAAAAAATCAAACATTGGCCCTGGCTAGTTTGGCTCACTGGATAGAGAGTCGGCCTGGGGACTGAAGGGTCCCAGGTTCAATTTCAGTCAAGGGCATGTACCTTGGTTGTGGGCACATCCCCAGTAGGGAGGTGTACAGGAGGCAGCTGATCAATGCTTGTCTCTCATTGATGTTCCTAACTCTATCCCTCTCCTTTCCTCTCTATAAAAAAAATCAATAAAAATATATTTTAAAAACCCCACATTGATTTAGGTAAAACTATACATAACAGCTACTTTTTCTAGATTAAAAAAAAAAAAAAGGTTGAATATTGGCAATTTCATGTGGTCCATGTAATAGATGCTCAGGAGGCAAGCAGTAGGGGCTGGGAGGAAAGGCAATCCTTTAGGGGTGAGTTAACCAGAGCTTTGGCTGTATCTATTTATTTATTTGTCAAAATGTCAGATGGCAGAATTTTGATTTTAGTAACACAAATACTACATTTAAACCATCTGTCTAATCATTTTCTTCACTGCGCAGCCTGGCATTGGGATTGGTGACTCTGATGGCCAGCTGGGCTGCTCTTTCCACAATGGCCTTGCGGTTGTTCGAGAAGACAGTGTGAGCCACCTCAGCACAGTGAGGTCTGCTGCCCATCAGCAGCACTTCAAGCTCCTTGGGGACCTGAAACTTCTGAAAGCCACTGGGCAGCATGCACTTTGTTTTCTTGTTGCTCCCAGAACCAATGTTGGGCATCAAGATCTGGCCCTGGAATCTTCTACGCACCCTATTGTCAATGCCTCTGGGTTTCCGCCAGTTCCGCTTAATTTTGACATGTGGGTCTGACTAGTGCTGGATGAACTTCCTGCTCCCCTTTTTGACAATCTTGGGTTTCACGAGGGGTCTGCGGGCAGCTGTGGTGTTGAGAAGGAGGTGGCTGCCACCTGCGTCGCTTTGGCTGTTTTTAATACGGAATGGCTGGTCTCTTGTAGATGTGAACCAAGCATTACCTAGTGGTCTCTTCTCTTTGTAGAGAAAAAGGGGATTGAAAATGGGTGAAAGAGTTCATGCAGATCTATAGAAGTCTTCAGGGCCTTTAGATATTCATTGGTTTCCAAAGGATTTAAGAAAATTACATAACATATAAGATTTAAAAAAATTAAGTCTTTATTGTTGAAAGTATTACATATGTCCCCTCTCCCCTTACTCCCCCAATTGACCCCTTCTAGCCCACCCATCCTCTGCCCTAGGCCTTCACCATGGTCTACATGGGTTATGTATATATGGTTGATCTCTCCTCACCCGCCCTCCCCTGCCTTCCCTCTGACATTCTGCAGTCTTTTCTATGCTTCTATATCTCTGGATCTATTAAAAAATATTTTTATTGACTTCAGAGAGGAAGGGAGGAGATAGAAACATCATTGATTTGTGGCCCACAACCCAGGTTTGTGCCCTGACAAGGAATCGAAGTGACCTCCAGGTTCATAGGTCTATGCTCAACCACTGAGCCACACCGGCTAGGCTCTCTGGATCTATTTCGTTCATTAGATTCCACATATGAGTGAGAGCATGTGATAATGTCTCTCTCTTACTGGCTTATTTCACTTAGCATAATATTCTCCAAGTGAGGAAATTGAGGATGAGGGAAAAGCAATTGACACCCAGATCTCCTACTGTGATGTAAACAGTGGCCAGCACAGAACTTCCTCAAATCATCTTCGGAAAGGAAAAAGTATAAATAATTTTCAGCACAGTACTTTTCTGATAAGGAACTGCTATTCTGGACTCCTATATGATATAGCAGTAGGTATCATTGTGAGGGTAACCTCTGCTGAGAAAACAGGCAGCTTTTAATGAACATAAACTGTATTTCAAGGTTTGACTGTAGTACTGGAATAGTTAAGAAAAGGTGTTTTTTGCAGAGACCATTTCCAACCTTCTTAATATTCCATGGCAATCACCCTTTTAAGTGTGATCTGAGAGGGTCCTCTGAATTTGAGTGTGATGCTTTCAGCACATATATCTTTTAAAACCATCATATTAACAGCAGAATTGCTATATCTGGTAAGTTACTTTTTTTTCCAGAAAGATTAAAAGTCTTTGCATTTTGTCAGAATGGTCTACGGACCAAAAAAGTTTCAAAATGGTTTCATTTGTCAGGTGGTATCAATGAAGAAATGAATTCTTGTGGCCAAATACTTTACTCTCTACGGGTGGCTGGACTAAGACTGTAAAAGGGGCATGGAGGTGGTATCTTAGACCCATAACATATGTCCCTATTCCTGGAAAAATAGCTGGGGAAAAAACAACAACTCTTCTAGGGAGAGCTATTTTCTATCCCACAGATCTATAGGCTAAGAAGAGAGACAATACTATGATTTCCCTCCTCTGCAACTCCACTTGTCTTCCTCTTCAGTCCCCTCTTTTTCTACCCCCCCCCCCCAAATCAGCTTATTTTCTTTAAAATGAAAGTGTAAAATAGTATAGTGTTTATGCTACTTAGCTTTTAAAATTATTCTTCTACTTATGAGACTAAAATGTGTTTTGGAAGAGATCAAGCCCTTTGTTGGATTCATATGGTCTTGCTTTGCCTGCTTGTGATTTTTAGGTCACTTCCCTGGAAGTCTATCTTTTGTACAAATGGGTGCCAAGTAACCATATGACTTCTCTTATCCTATGAGAACAGGTCAAAAGTATGTGCTTTAGAACTGGGAATCACTCACAAATGGATTACGAGTTCCTTTTCAGTTGGCACACACAAATGTAGTTTAAGTGCCGGGCTTTACAACCCCATCCCTTGGCACAGTGTTGTCACACAAAATATAATCCCAGCAACTGGATTCTTGCTTGAGTCAGATTTCTAGAAAAAGGCTATTGTGGACAGCATTTCCACCTCTTTAACATAACCTTTCTTGGCAATTAGATTTAAAGGTAATAGGCAGAGATAGATTTCTCTTAGTTGGCAAAACACACACAAAAACCCCAGCATTTTCCTCTCCAGGATGACAGCAACATAGCAAGGATGCCAAAGAGAAAAGGAGTATTTACTTAATCTAATAAGTGAGACGAGATTTTAAAGTATAACTAAAATGTTCCCAGAAAAAAAAAATACTCGCTGAGATTCAGTATTTAAAACATGTAGGCATGTGTTGGTTTTTTTTTTTTTTTCACATTTGACTTGTTACCAAGACGAGTAAGAAACAGAGAATATGATGTGACTGAATTTTTAAATAAAAAGTATCCTGCACCTCTTATAATTATATATATACATTATATGTATAAAATATATGTGTATTTACATATACACACATGCCACGTTTTAAATATACTTGAAAGTGGCTGCTTCGGTGCCATTGGCAAGAAGGAAAGCTCTGCTCTCTGTGAGGTGGATTATTTCTTTGTTTTTAAGTGCCTGCTTCCAGGGTACACAAAAGTGGGAGATGAAGTGGAAGGAAACCTGGGACTAAGGGGGATGGGGCCGAGATGACTGGGACTGAATCTAGGCGCTGAAAGTCAGAGAAAATCCTCCTCCAGCCTCGGAAGGGGTGTCTCCCCCAATACCAGCTCCCTCCCCCCGGGCTCGCGGGGCGGGTCCGGTTCGCTCAGTAGCGGCGGCGGCCGCGGCAGCAGCCCCGGGGCTGAGCGGCAGCGGCGGCGGCCTCCCGGCAGCGCAGGGAAGCGGCGACTCCGAGCGCGCGAGGCCCAGGGGAGATCCGGCCGAGATGGAGGAAGCGTCGAGTGGAGCCGAGCCCCCGGGGAAAGATTTCCTCCTCAGCCCAGCTCGGCAAGGCCCGCTTCGGGCGCCCGCGAGGCGGAAGAGGCCTGCGCCTCGGGTCTGGCAGCGGCAGCGGGCGAGCAAGTCGGGCCCAGCGGGGCGATAGGCCAGCGGTAGCGGCTTTCGGGAACCTACACCGCCTAGGCCGCTCATTGTCTCTCCCCTCCACCCGCGGGGCAAACAGGAAGCGCGCAGCCGGGCTGAGCGACGGACGGGCGCCCGGGCCAATGAGCACCGCCGACGGCGAGCGTGGCGGCGAATGGACGCGGAGAAGAGGGGCGGGACTTCCGGGCGGGCTGTCACCCTCTTCCCCCCTTTTGGGCTGGAGGCTCCACCTTTTGTGTTTCCCGCACAGTCAATCAAAATAGGAAAAAAAATTTCCCCGGACCGCTCCGGCCGTGTCCGCCGCCGCTTCCCGCATCCTCTCCCGCCGCCGCCGCCTTCGCTCCTCACCATGTGTAAGGCGGCGGGGAGCCCCGCCTGAGGTGCCCTAAACACACTATGACCGGTACGTAAAAGCCGAGAGAGCAACCCTTGCTGCTGCTGCCGCCGCCGCCGCCGCCCACAGCCCGCTCCGGGCCGCCGCCGCCGCCGGCTCCCGGCCCCGTGTGTGCGACCGAGTGTCTGTGAGAGGCAGAAAGCCGCAGTCCCCTCCCCGCCAGCCGCCACGGTCCGCCCCTCCAGCCCCAGCAGCGCCGTGTCCCCGCCGGGCCCCAGGCGGGCGGCCGGCCCGGTCCGCTGGGAGCGCATCCCCTCGCGCGCGGGCGCGGGCGGCGGGCGGGCGTGTGAGTGACTGACGGTGCGAGAGGAGCGAGCGCGAGTGCGAGCGAGCGGCGCGGAGGGAAAGGGGAGGAGAGGAGAGGAGAGGGGGCAGGGGCAGCGCGGGGAGGAGGAGGAGGGATAGAGGAGGAGGAGGAGGGTTACAGCGCGGCGGGCGGGGGCAGCCGCGGGAGGGGAGGAGGGAGCCGCCGCCGCCGCCGCCGCCGCCGCGGGGCGGGTGGGGGAGGGGAAGGGGAGCGGGTCCGGGCTTTCGGAATAATTTCGACTCGGCCCGCGGGCCCCCTCCCTCTCCTCCACCCGCCTTCCTCCCCCTTTTCCCCCCTCCCCCCCCGCGCTGTGCCTGCAGCTCCTGAAAAGCCCGTGAAACAAGAGGAAATGGCTGCCTTAGACGTGGACAGCGGCGGCGGCGGCAGCGGCGGCGGCCACGGCGAGTATCTGCAGCAGCAGCAGCAGCAGCAGCAGCACGGAAACGGCGCGGTGGCGGCGGCGGCGGCCCAGGTGAGGCGCGGCCGAGCCCTGGCCGGCTCCCCCCTCGCGCCGCTTTCTCCTCCCCTCGCTCTGCCCTCCCTCCCTCCGCGCCTCTCTCCTCCCCTCCCCTCCCCCAGCCCCGGAGCGGCCGCCCGAGGCGCCAACGCTCCGACCCCGCCCGCTCTCCCCCGCCCGCCGCCCGCCGCCCGCCTTTTTGTGTGTGAGTGTGCGTGTGCGTGTGTGTGTGAGCGCGCGCCCTCCCGGAGGTGGGCTCGGGCTGAAGGTGGAGGCCCGGCGCGCTGCCCGCCGCCCGCCTTCCCGCGGACGCCCGAGCGGGAGTGCGTGCGAGCGGGAGGACACGAGCCGGCGTGCGGGAGGAGGAGGAGGAGGAAGAGGAGGAGGAGGCCGTGAGCGCGGGCTGGCGCTCGCCCGGGCGCCGCCTGCGAGGACCGGTCGCACTTCCTGTGCGAGCGGCGGGCCCGGCCCTAACCGCCACCCCTCCCCCTGTCTCCCTCTCTGAACCCGCCCCTCGGGGGTAGGACACTCAGCCGTCACCGCTCGCTCTGCTGGCCGCTACCTGCAGCAAGATTGGGCCCACCTCGCCGGGCGACGACGACGAGGAGGAGGCGGCCGCCGCCGCCGGGGACCCCGCCGCCGTAGCCGGAGCGGTAAGTCCCGCGCGCGCGCGCGGCCCGCCCCCGCCGAGGCCCGGCGCCCGCCATCCCAGGCCCGCGGCGCTCCCGCCGCCCCGAGGCCGCCCTCCCCGGCGCCCGCGCCTTCCCGGATCGCGCGGCCAGCGCGCCCTTTCCTGCTCCTCCGCAGGCTTGTTTGGGGCCCGAAGCCAGCCCAGGCTTTCCCTACATGGTCGCTGCGGAACCTCGATCCACGTTCACTACAAAATGAGGCCTGGGAGGGCGGGGGTGGGAGACTCCAAAATGGATGTTTGAGTAATTCATATCGCCGCCGAGAACTCCTTGCCTGCACACCACAGAATTTCCAAGCACAGCCTATCGGCCATAGATAGTATCAGCCAGAGGCACAGCGTCTGTAGTTTTTAGGGTTTTTGAACCTGGAGCCTTTTCGGTTGGAAGTTACTAGAGCTTACTGATTTAAACCGTAAATTGTTTAAAAAGAAAAGAAAAGAAAAAAGGAAGGTTTACTCTTTGAATTATCTTTTTGTATGCAGGAGTGGGTACTTTGAAGTGCTTTTTCAGTGGCCATTCTAAATGGTCGAATTTTAGTTTTTGCAGACTTATTTTGCAGTAATTTTTCACAAGTCGAATAAATAAGTGAAACATTTAATTAGCGGCTGTTGGAGTCGCTGAAGTTAGATAATATTTTGGCTTTTGAAATTGAACCTGGATACCAGTGTTAAAAACAAAAGTATATGTAAGAAGTTGTACTTCCATGCATGCTAATGCACACCACACTTAAAACAGCTGAATTTAGTTAGTAAAGCCCTGTTACCATTGCTAGTCTGATGGGACATGGTAAGACGCTTTTTTGTAGTGTTTTTAGAGTGTCTGGAGCAGGGGGAGGAGCTGATGGGTTATCTGAGGGCTTAATTCAAAAACAGCTTTTAGCACTGTTGCTTGTGACTTTTATATTTGCTGGAATCATTGCTGTTGCATTAGTGTAACACGTAGATGTATTTACTTATTAAAGTAATTGATGCATTTTCCTTTGAGGTGGATTATAAAAATTGACTTGTGTGTAGTGATATTTGGAAGTAGTCACAGAAGACAAAAACCGTTTGATATTTGATATAGTCTGCTGGATATTCTTAATATTTCTAGGCATTAAAAGTGAAGCCAAAGTTAAGCTATGTTGTTAAATGTTGTATTTGTAATTTTAGTGCTTCAAGTTATAGTGTAGAGAGAGATGAATGGTTTTAGTGTCTTAAAAAAAAGTATGACTTTTAAGTTTTAAACTTAATTTTTGATTGATTGATAAACCTTAACTACATCTCTCTAGCTCTACAATGACAAGACAGAATGAAACTACTGCATAAGTAAAATTGCAAGCCAGATTGCTTCTACTTTTTAATATTTTCAGTTAGAACAAAAAACTTTTTGTAGTTGCAACTTAACCATGTTTAGGTATCAGGTCACCGATGGGGGAGGGGAGAAGTAAAGGAGGAAGTGAAGGTGAAAATATGTGTATGTACATGTATGTGTGAATCTTACATGAATCTCAGTCCCAGGAATGGAATATTATCTCCAGCTTTAGCCTACTGTGGCCATATATCACTTGTAGAAAAGTTGTTTCCATTCCTCTTCAACTCATACTCCGAACTACTCTCTACTGATATATATTTCCTGTAGATGAACATGAACTAGAATAAGTTGGAGCATTTTTTTTCTTCGTTTGGTAACTGTACAGAAAATTTTTCACTGAGTAAAATTGGTAAGACTGGCTTGAATATATTTGCCTTAGGAAATGGGAAAATTATTTTTCTTGTTCAGATGAATTTCCAACATGTGCATCTCAGAAAATGAGAATTTACAGTAATGATTTTATGGGCAATTTTTTTTTCCCACCTGAAAATGTGCGTAGGTCATCTGCTTTAATTACTCAAATTACTGGGAATCTTGAGACATCTACAGACAACTTTATTTTGTAGCTGTGTTTTTTTTTTTTTTTTTTTAAATTCTTATTTTGGAAGAATTTTAAATTTACAGAAAAGTTGCAAAGATAGAACTTGAGGGTTACCCTTCATCCAGCTTCTCCTAATATTAATATAGACATGTTAGTTGCAACTTAACCAAGTTTAGGTATGAAATTAGGAAATTAACAATGATACAGTATTATTAACGACAAATTTTATTCTTATTTTACCAGTTTTTCTACTATTGTCCATTTTTTGTTCCAGAATCCAGTCCAGGGTACCACATTGCATATAGTATTGTTATATTTAAAGTCAGTTAAATACATATATATATTTCAATCTTATGCCAGTTTAGTTTGGTATTTTAGGATTAAAAGGTTATTGAAAAGTCAATCACCTGCACTGGAGATTTGCTTTAAATATTTCAAATTTAGAATTTGTTTTAATATTATATGGATTCATCCTGGATCCTGACCAAGAATGGATAGATACCCTTAGTACTATTCTAAATAGATCTAATCACAAAACAATCTCACCTGTATTGCCCTACACCAGGGACTCTGATGGCAAGGCTCTTTTCTTACTTTATTATTAAAAGTTGTGTAGTTAATTTAAAAAAAAATTTTTATTGTTGGAAGAATTACATAGGTCCTCCTTTTTTGTGTAATTTTTGTAATAAATCAGGGAACAAAGTATAAGTAAAGTAGACCTTTGTGACATATTAACTTGTCTGTTTTGCATTTGTGTGTACTTACGGATTATTAATTTATTTCATTTGTACTATAGTGTAATAAGCTGTACAACTACATATTATAAAAGTTGTTGCTTGACCTTCACTTTAGGTTGTAAATTAAGTGTTCATTTAGTATACAAATGTTGGTGAGCTAAAAAATAAATAGCTTATTTTTAAAAAAGGTTATTTTTACCATTACTTAAAAAAAATCTACATTGTCATTGTAATGAATTCATTAGGTATTTGTTTTTATTTGAAGTCTGAGTTCTTTAGTGTTCCTTGATGATTTCAAGAAACTTACCTAAGAATGGTTTTTCATTTGTTTCTACCTTAGCTTCATACTTTCTTGTTTCTGGTTACACTCTTTGCTTGCCTCTTTGGTTTTCATATAAAGCTATTTGTGGGAAGTGAGAAGTTAAAATCCTTTTCAAATGCTATGCAGTAAGTGGTATGAATTTTTTATTTTTCCCTATCTACACATATTATCTGAGAAGATAAACCTTTTTTTCTTTTCTCTTATCCCCAGGTCCCCACCTCCACCCCATTTTTATATCCTGGTTGTACTGGAGAATGTCCTTGTAATGAACTGCTGTAGTAATGTTTCAGGGCTACTCTGGGTTGTGGTCCTGTCACTGTAATTACTATTGTGTGTTTATATGCAGAAGGAACCTCAGAGTACCTTCAGTTAAAACTTTTTACAGTAATGCCAACTTCCACCTAAATACAGGAAGTGTTTAGATAGTATTTTGTTGTCCAATGAGAATATTAAAAGTTACTGAGAGAAACACAGGTGGATTTTTCTTTTAGTCTAAAGCTTATGTGAAGGGTTATCTTGATCCTAAACCAAATACTAGTTCTTGCCTTGGTTATGTGATTTTATGGCCTCTCTTTTGTTTTGTATAGTATTTCCAGATAGCCTAACGGCAGAGTTTTTACAGCTCTTTTTGGTCTTAGATGATTTTCTAATTTAGCCCTTTCCCTTCTGGTATGGAGAGTATTTTATGTGTTTTAGTGGTATGCTGCTGATGAAATTTCTTACAAATGAATGGTCTTAGTAGGCTTTGTAGTTTGAAATATTTGGGATTTATTCATTGTGGAATTATGGAAATAAATAGGTTTAAAATTGTTGTAGAGTTTTTTGCAGAAGTCTAATATCTCAGGGTCAGTTTTGTTGATCCATTTTTTTTTCCTGTCATTTTCTTTGCAATGGTTCTAAAGTAAGATACCTTTAACTATTCACTCAACAAATACTGATCCAGGAATTGTGCTAGTCACTTAATGGGTGCTTTTCAAATCTGTCCTTAAAATCTTAGTAATCATAATGATGCCTTAGGGTTGTATAATGCCGTATAGTTTATAAAGGTTAGCAGTTTTGACTCTTACAACTCTCTAAGGTAATATTTCCCCCCATTTTTAACAGAAGTTCTGCTCTAAGTAATACACAATTCTATAGTTCTAGCTAGGACCAGAACTCAGTTCTGAGTTCTTTTTGCTATTGCAATATATTCCTCTTTCCCCAGCACAATCTTAGCTTAAATCATGGAAGTCTATTAGTTTTCTCATTCAGTATTTTCCCCCATTCCATTAAAAAACAACAACAACAACAACAAAAAAAACAGCTCTGAGTGGCTCACTTGTTTGGAGCATCTGATTCCCCATTAGAGGACATACCTAGGTTGCAGGTGTGATCCCAAGTTGGGCCCGGGTTTGGGCTTGTAGTGGGGCAAACTGATCGTTTCTTTCTCACATTGATGTTTCTCCCTTCCTCTCTCTAAAAATCAGTTTAAAAAAAGATTCTGTAGTGAGGGTTTTAAAAATTAACATTTAGTAAATCTTTTAAAACTAAATTATTTCATTAAAGAAAAACATTTTTTATTGCTTTCTTCTTTTTGTTAATCCACACCCAAGAATATTTAGAGTGAAAGACTTAAAGAGAAACATCAATGTGAGTGAGACACATTGATTGGCTGCCTCCCCCATGCCCTGACCAGGACCAGGATTGAGCCTGCTACTGAAGTACAGGCTCTTGCTCAGAATTGAACTCTGGACTCTTCAGTCCAGAAGAGTCCTAACGCTCTATTCACTGAGCCAAACCAGCTAGCTTATTGCTGTTTTTTTCCCCCCTCCTTTATATTAAATTATCTCTTGCTATTCCTATATATTTTCCCCACCCCCTGGCTTGGGCCAAATAAACAAATAAGCCACATTAATAAATGCATTGGGCCAAATAAACCACATTAATAAATGCATAAATACATAATACATACATAAATTTTAATCCTCGCTTGAGGTCATTTTTTTCCATTGATTTCAAAGAGAGAGGAAGGGAAAGGGAGGGGGGAGAGAGAGAAAGAGAGAAACAATGATGTGATAGAGAAACATCAATTGGTTGCCTCATGCATGCCCCCCAATTGGGATCAAACCCTCAACCTGCTTATGTGCCCATTCCTGGAATTATCTATCTTTCAGTGCAAGGGCGGTTGCTTAAACACCTGAGACACATGCCAGGGCATAAATATTTTTATATGTTTTTCACCTTCAGTTAATTAAAAAATGTTCAAATCATTTTTGTCCTAGGTTTGAGGATTTCCCTTTTTTTTTTTTTTTTTTTTTTTTTTTGTAGTTTCTTTTTTGAGAAGGGATTTCCCTTCAATTAATAACCTGCTTTGTTGGGAAAACGTGGTACTACAGTTTATTTTTATTTAGCTTCTGCAGAGGGAAGGGGGTGCCTGGGTAGTATTTACTCAGAATTGTCATTTGAGTAGTTGTATTTATTTTCAAAGAATTTCTTGACTAGAAAGCAGTTCACTGATGGTTGAATATCTGCCCTTTTATTTTTCTGAGAAATGAATACTTTATATGTCATAAGTTAACTTTTTAAAAGATGATAAAAGGCCTAAATGCTAGTAATATATAGTTAATCTGTATCTGAGACACTATATTCTTTTATATAGGTTAAATAATTATAAATTTAATGGTGGTCAGAAAAAATTTCAACAGTTGATTCTTTAAAGATGATCAATAATCTTAACAAGGATTGGATTTTAGATATTATACTGTACTGCAGGTTTCAATATAAAGTACAGACTAACATATCTTTAGCTTATTTAAAATGCCAAGAGAGACTGAAATGAAATGTGAATTGTTACTTTAACATAAGAAAAGATGATTTAACCTTCTAATTTTTATACCATATAGAAGTTGAATGATGTGTGACATTAATGGTTGGTTCTTCATTTTAATGACTTAAGTTTGATAGATTTAAAAGACTGTATTTATTTATTTATTTATTTATTTATTTATTTATTTATTTATATTTTTTGTTTGTTAATCCTCACCTGAGGATATTTTTTCATTGATTTTTAGGGAGAGTGGAAGGGAGAGGGAAAGACAGAAACATAGATGTGTCTTACATTGATTGGTTGCCTCCTGCATGAGCCCACAACCAAGGTACATGCTCTTCACTGGACTTGAACCCGGGATCCCTGGGTCCTCAGGCTGACGCACTATCCACTGAGCCAAACCGGCTAGGACAAAGATTGTATTTAAGTGATCATTGTTTTAGTTCAGGCTTAGATGTTTGTAATGAGTCCCAGTTTTTCTGCTTGTATTCTTTTCCGCCTTTCAGTCTCCTTCACTGGGCCTTAGTTTATCTTTATGAAACAGATCTGATTGTACCACTTGTTTAAAAACCTTTTATAGCTTTCATTTACTGTCTGCAGAATAAAGTCTAAACTCCTTACTAGAATATACAAAGCCATTTACTACAGGCCCTGACAAAAATGTCTAGTCCTGTTATCCTTTTCTCTGAATCTGAGCCTTTTCTGGATCTTCTCTTGAACATCAAACTACATGTTTCTTTTTGTCTGTGACTTACTCTATCTTTAGTAATTCCTCTGTCTCTATTTTCTAATTACCCAAATGAATTATTAAATTTTATTCTAAAATTACTTTAAATATATCTTATGTGAGATAATAGTTTTTTTAGGCTTCTATGTTCCCAAATAGTGTTTTGATCATATGGCTAGTATATACTTTTCACATGTAGTAGCATGTATGTGTTTTTCTGCTTAGATAGATGTGAGCCATTTGACGAAAAAGATAGTTTATTTCATGGAATTTCTCATCTGCTTATTTCATTTTGACAGATATGCACAAATACCTTGAGTTGTGTCATTAATACTGTGGTTTTATCCATTGAAATATATATTAACTATTCCGATATGAAAATTAGGTAGTGAGTTTCTTTAATAAACTTTTAAAATATTCTGGTTCGGTAATATTTGTAATAGAAATGTGGAATGGGTTATGTTGCGAGAACAGTACTTGTCTAACCTTTTTTTATGGTCATAGACCCCTTTTGAGAATATGATTAAGCCCTATCATCCCCTCCCCCATTGTACTTTTCACTTTCTCAAAAAGTTGGTACTGTATTAGAGGATTCAAAGATCCTTTGAAATGCAGGCATGGATCCTGGGTTTAGAATGCTGGGCTAGATATGCTTCTGCTCTCATTGCCTAGTTATTTGTGGTGGTTTAGGAAATCACATAGATCTAGAAGGAAGTGGGATAGGAATTATTTTATTTTGATGGTAATTAATACAGGATTTCATTAGTCATGTGTTTATCCCATTTCTTAGTGGGTGACAGTATGGAATAGTATGTAAGGGTCTGGGTTCTGTAGTTAGACTTGGCCTAGTTTTATATCTTGTCTTGGCACTTGATAGCTCTGTGATTTGTCCCTCAATTTTCTCCTCTGTGAAATATGAATAATGCTAACACTACCTCAGTATTGTTGAAAGGAGTAAGTAATAAAATCTTATAAACCCCAATTAGAGTTCTTGGCATTAAAAAAAAGCTAAAATGCTAGACATTGTTACTATGCCCTAAAAAGAATTCTGTCCTTTGACATTGACATGTAGGATTTTATTGCTTTTTGCTTTTCTACACTGGTGTTTTTCCAATCTAATTTTAAAGTATTGGGATGATACCTGAGATTCCAACAGGTCACAGATTGCAAAATGTAAGTACTGGGCACTTGACTATAAACTTAAATAGAATAGTAGGTAAAGCCACAGTTCCTTGTTAAGTTTTTAAAAAGGTGTCATTTTTTAAAAAGTAATTCATGGGAAAAATAAAGAATTGCTAATAGAATAATCCTAGACAGGAGTTTGTTCTGGAGTGCATTAAAACATGCCATCAAAGAGTCACTTGAATTATTTGATTAAAGATTTAGATTAATAATATTCAAACCTAATTCACATGGTTTGATAATACTGCACTAGTAATGTTTCTTTTTTTCTCATATATAATACACCTGATATTTTTAGTGCATTGTATATTTTTTGAATTCAGTGTTTGAGGTATGTCTGGTTTGAGCTGTTTATACTTTTTTCTAGCCACTTCTATTATTTTTAACTGTATAGCATTAGAGATCATAGATGAGGGAATAAAAGATCAGTTAGCGGTCATAAAGCAAAGACTGCTTACTGAAAAATTTTCCTGCTCAAATAGCATGGGTTATTTTTACAATAAAAAAGTTGGAAATGATAATTATTGTAGTTTATTTTCTGAAATTTTAAAATATTCTGTGGGGGAAGGGGCGAGAAAGAGAGCCCGAACTCCGACTCACCTATCAAGATCCATTTGTTGTTCTACTTATTCGTTCATTCATTGGTTGATTCTTGTATGTGCTTTGTTGGGGGATCCAACCTGCAACTGTGGCGTATCAGGTGATGCTCTAACCAACTGGCCAAGGCTGTAGGTTATATAGTACTGCTTCTGTATTTGAACTCCACTGTGTTATTAAGAGAACTTTTATTTTTAGGTAGTAGGATTTATGTCAGTTTGTAGAGTTTTGAGGACTGGTTTAACTCTACAAGTATATATCTCAAAACAGTTTTTGTTTTCTTCATCCAGACAGGTGATTTGGCTGCTGTACAGTTAGGAGGAGCACCAAACCGGTGGGAGGTTTTGTCAGCCACACCTACAACTATAAAAGATGAAGCGGGTAATCTAGTACAGATTCCAAGTGCTGCTACTTCGAGTGGGCAGTATGTTCTTCCCCTTCAGAATTTGCAGAATCAACAAATATTTTCAGTTGCACCAGGATCAGAGTCATCGAATGGTACAGTGTCCAATGTTCAATATCAAGTAATACCACAGATTCAGTCAACAGATGGTCAACAGGTTCAGATTGGCTTCACAGGAACTTCAGATAATGGCGGTATAAATCAAGAAAGTGGTCAAATTCAGGTCATTCCTGGCTCTAATCAAACCTTGCTTGCCTCTGGAACACCTCCTGCTAATATTCAGAATCTCATACCACAGACTGGTCAAGTCCAGGTTCAGGGAGTTACAATTGGTGGTTCATCTTTTCCTGGCCAAACCCAAGTAGTTGCTAATGTGCCTCTTGGTCTGCCAGGAAATATTACCTTTGTACCAATCAACAGTGTCGATCTAGATTCTTTGGGACTCTCGGGCAGTTCTCAGACAATGACTGCAGGCATTAATGCCGATGGACATTTGATAAATACAGGACAAGCTATGGATAGTTCAGACAATTCAGAAAGGACTGGTGAGCGGGTTTCTCCTGATATTAATGAAACTAATACTGATACAGATTTATTTGTGCCAACGTCCTCTTCATCACAGTTGCCTGTTACTATAGACAGTACAGGTATATTGCAACAAAACACAAATAGCTTGACTACTTCTAGTGGGCAAGTCCATTCTTCAGATCTTCAGGGAAATTACATCCAGTCGCCTGTTTCTGAAGAGACACAGGCTCAGAATATTCAGGTTTCTACAGCACAGCCTGTTGTACAACATTTACAACTTCAAGAGTCTCAGCAGCCAACCAGTCAAGCCCAAATTGTGCAAGGTATTACACCACAGACAATCCATGGTGTGCAAGCAAGTGGTCAAAATATATCACAACAGGCTTTGCAAAATCTTCAGTTGCAGCTGAATCCTGGAACCTTTTTAATTCAGGCACAGACAGTGACCCCTTCTGGACAAATAACTTGGCAAACATTTCAAGTACAAGGGGTCCAGAACTTGCAGAATTTGCAAATACAGAATACTGCTGCCCAACAAATAACTTTGACACCTGTTCAGACACTTACGCTTGGCCAGGTTGCAGCAGGTGGAGCCTTGACTTCAACTCCAGTTAGTCTAAGCACTGGTCAGTTGCCAAATCTACAGACAGTTACAGTAAACTCTATAGATTCTACTGGTATACAGCTACACCCAGGAGAGAATGCTGACAGTCCTGCAGGTAAGTCTTAAGTCATATTGTAACCATAGATAGGTTCACTGATTTGTCAGTATGTAGGGAAATATTTTGCTTTAGATGTTTATCAGTTATCTTTAGAGATGTTGCCCTAAATTTGTATGAAAAGTAGACATCGAAGTGTCTTCCAATTCTTCATTGAAATTTTGTAGTTTTTGAAGTCAAGGATTTATTTCTCCATTATGCTATTATATTTGTAATTTTTCCTTTCTCAATTCTGTATTTGTTTTCACATATGATTGGTGGTGTCAAACATTACAAAATTTTTATTTGGCAGATAAAGTGTCTTGGTCATCCTTGGTGTGATGTAAGTTCAGTGTTTTCTGCACTATATCTAATTGGGGAATCTGATTGGCATAGTAAAAATAAAAACATGGTACTGTTGTCTCAGCTAGTAGCTAGCTAGCTGTGCTATTTTGGCCAAGTTACTTTTTCTCTTGCAAACTCAGTTTCCTCATCATGTAAAATTGGGTTGTTAGACTAAGTAACTATTAATATATCTAAGTTAGCTTCCCAGACCTAAAATTCTTTGATTCTCTGACAGTTTATTCTTACAAGTGTGTAGTGGCTTTGAACTTACTTGTGCTAGACATGTTATTTATAGTATGGGGTAGAAATATCAGAAGTCTACTCTTTTTGTGTGCAAGAATTAAATAGTATAGTTTTAAAAGAAATGCTATAAACATTATGTGTTATAATGTTTATTTAGAAAGCATCTTACTGTGTTGTACTAAATCCTTTTGCTCTTCTACTTTTAATTTGTTCTTTCGTGAAGATTTTAATTTTTTTAATATTTAAATTCTTACCCATTGAGTCTAGAGAGACAGGAAAGAAGAGGGGGAAGAAAGAGAAAAACAACAATGTGAGAGGGAAACTTGGATAGGTTACTGTTCATATTCTAGAACCTGCAACCTGGATATATACCCTGACTGGGAATTAGCCTGTCAATCTTTTGGTGCACAGCTCAACCAATTAAGTCACTCTGGCAGGGAGAGATTTTGTGGCGATTTTAACCTTCCATTAAGTTAGTGATTCTAAATTCTTAAATTGGGATGCTTAAATTTAATTTACTGAAATAATTTCCATCACAATAAAGACTGCCTTTTTTCTTTTGAGAAATTAGTGATATATGCTTAGAAAATTGGAATTGTCTTAAAGCCTCAGGTCTGTTCTTGGACAGCTTTTAATTGCACTTGCATCTTCGGAAGCTGTGGTGTAGAGCAACAGTTCTCAAAGTGTGGTCTGTGGACCCCTGGGGGATCTCTATCACTCTTTTAAGAGGTCCTTGATGTCAAACTCCTTTTCATAGTAATACTGAAGTTATTTGTCTTTTTATTGTGTTGACATTTTCGTTGATGGTGGCTAAAACTGCTTGTGTCTTAGCACAAATCAAAGCAGTGGCACAAAACTATACTACTTATATTCTTTATGATATTGCACTTAAATGCAGTTAAACACGCATTTCACTAAAGAATGTTCTTGTTAAACCCATCTAAATGGTTATTTTTACTAAATCTTGAACCTTGAGTGTTAAATGTTTAAAAAAAAATAGTTTTATTGAAATGTAAATCACAACCCATAAATTTACCCTTTAAAGTATACAACTCAATGATTTTTAATATAGTCACAGACTTGTACAACCATCACCACTATCTAATTTTAGAGCATTTTCACCCCCCCAACACACACCACACCTTAGCCCTTGGCAGTCACTAATCTATTTTCTGTCTTTCTGGATTTGCGTTTCATATCAGTGGAATTCTATTTCATATTAATGAAATCATATAATAAATGGCTTTTTGCATCTGGCTTTCATTTAGCATAATATTTTTGAGATTCTATTTGTGGTTGAATAATATTCTATTGTTTGAATACCCCACATTTTATTCATTTATCTGTTGATGGACAAGGTTTCTATGTTTTGGCTATCTATATATATAAAAGCCTAAGCAACTGAACGATCGGTTGCTATGATGTGCACTGACCACCAGGGAGCAGATGCTCAACATAGGAGCTGCCCCTTGGTGGTCAGTGTGCTCCCACAGCGGGAGCACCGCTCAGCTGACAGGGACATCAGATGCTGGGCTTACAGCTGGCGATCACAGCTGTGGCGGCACGAGCCTCTCCCTCCTCTGCGGTAGTGCTACCAGCAGCAGTTGTAGTGGCAGTGGCAGTGGCAGCAGGCACAGGGGGGCCAGGATGAGCCTGAGTGGTATAGCGCCCGCCCAGGGCTCGAGCCCTCAGGATATTAGATTGCTGTTTTCAGCTCAGGCCTGCGGGGATGGGGCCCGAAACTGGTAGTCCAATATCCCCCGAAGGATTCCGGTTTGCCAGAGTGCACAGGCCAGGTTAAGGTACCCCATTGGTGCACAAATTCGTGTACTGGGCCTCTAGTTATGAATAATGCTACTGTGAATATTATGTGTACATATTTTGTGTGTGAACATGCTTTTTTTTTGATATATACTTAGCAGTAGAATTGCTAGATTGTATAGTAAATCTGTGTTTAACATTTTGAGGATCTTCCAAAATGGTTTTGTAAAGTGACTGCACTTTGTACGCCCAGCAATATATGAGGATTCCAGTTTTTCCACATCCTTACCAATACTTATCGTTATCCTTTTTTTTTTTTTTTTAATAGTTAGTATGAAGTGGTACCTTGGGTTTTTGATTTGCAGTTCCTGCTGCATGTCTTTATAATATTATTTTGTGTTAAAAAGTATGCTTTAATAAAGTACTGTAAAATGATTGTATTAGAAAAAAATATTTTTTTATTTTTTTAAAAATATATTTTATTGATTTTCCACAGAGAGGAAGAGAGGGGGATAGAGAGCTAGAAACATTGATGAGAGAGAAACATCGACCAGCTGCCTCCCGCACTCCCCCCACTGGGGATGTGCCTGTAACCAGTGCACATGCCCTTGACCAGAATTGAACCCAGGACCTTTCAGTCCTCAGACTGATGCTCTATCCACTGAGCCAAACCGGTTTCGGCAAATATTTAATAAGAGTTTAGAAGGGGTATTGAGACTAAAAAGTTTGAGAACTGGTAGAATGACAGACTTCTGAAGACACAAGAGATGGTTTTTAGAAATGTTTTTAAAGCTTCTACAAAGTTAAGATTATAGAATTCTATAAATGTTAGAAAAACATCTCTAGAGAATTTGTGATTTTGTGAATTTATGTTGGTCATGAAATTAAAGCACTGAGTATTTCAGTATAGCAGTTTACTTTAAATACTATCAAAATAGCAATTCTTTATGAATTAGGTAAAAAAAATTTAAAAAGTAGTAATTTAGTTTATTGAATTTGGCAAGGAAGTTTATCTGGAAGGCCATTAAATTTGAATTTTGTCCCAATTTTAAGGAATCAGGAAAGAATTTAGAAAAGTTAAAATGCTGCCATGTACTCAGCAGTGTACCTATAATAATCTATAATATCAAAAGGATAATATGCAAATCGACTGGAGGACAGAACAGCTGAACGACCCATCTGGACGACCTTTCAGACGACCACACTATGACATGCACTGGTGTCAGGCCAGCCAAGGCCCGTGCCATGTGATTGGCTGGTGGGGGGGGTCTACCATCACCCCACGATTGCCCCACAGGGAAAGACCTAGGTCATTCTCTGTGGGGGGCTTGATGGGGGGGAGGGGGGGTCTCGCGATCCATTGCCCCAAAGAGGAGTCCCACGTCACCCTCTATGTGGCGATCGATTATGGAGCCCCACAATTGATCACCTCAAAGAGGGAGGCCCAGGCCACTAGCTAGTGATGCTGTGGCGGGTGTGTGGGACTGACTAGAGATTGCTCTGCAGAGGGACGCCCAGGCCAGCCAAGCAATCACATCCCATGCCTGTCACCTGCAGAGGGAGGCAACTAATAGTGGGGAAGGGGTTGGGGGGCAGCCCTGCACAGATGGCAAGCAGTGGCAGCAGCAAGGATGGGGCCAGCTGCTAGCAGCTGGCGGAAGGAAAGCCCCCAATAGGCCTTGATCTCTGACCTACCTGAGGTGTCCCAGATTGCGAGAGGGCACAAGCCGGGATGAGGGACCCCTCCCCCCCTTTCCCCAGCAGGAATTTCATGCACTGGGCCTCTAGTTTAGTAATAAAAACCAGGAAATTTTAATTTTGGGACTATTTGGTAATAGGAAAATCAGCCCTTGGATTGTACTGTCTTTTAATTGGTACGAAGGGAGATAAATTATTTTAGGATGTGTGTGTGTGGTTTTTTCTTTTCCCCCACCTGAAAATCAGGGTAAAATTTTAATCTATTAAGACATAGTATTGCTAGATGAAATGCTAAAAACATTGACATAATTGCATTGCATTTTTATTTTTGTTAAGTATGGAATTAATGTAACAATTTCCCACATACACAAGATTGCACATTTTGGGACTTTGGAATTTCTTTGACTTCTAAGCTCCCTTTTAACAAAAATGACCCTCTACTCTAGTCTGTTTTAAGTAGTGAATCTGACTCTGGGCCCCTCCTTATCAAAAGGAGTTACTTACATTGAGAGCCTCTTATGCCTTAGAAATCAAACCCTCATCTTTCTTGAAACATAGAGCTCATCAGACCCAAAACTACAGTCACATTCACTGCTTTTATTTCTGTTCACTTCTTGCCCATTGAGAATGTATGTTGTTTTAGAGGATTTCTTTTTTTTAAAGTTTATTTTTACTTTGTCTGCTGTTATATATATATATATTTGGGGGAGGAGACAAAGTGAATTTACATATCTTCCAATGTCTTTTCTAGTTAGAAAACTTCTCCCTAATTCAAGCCAAGACTTTGTGTCAAATTTTAGACTTCTACCAGATTTTGTTTTATCTAAATACAGAGTTATCCTCTAACAATGGCCATATTTAAAATGCAGTTAGGTGATTGAGTTAGGAAGAGAGGGTTATAGAAATCAATACTTATTTAAAGCAAAAACCTAATATTTAGAATTTCTATTACTCGTGGAAAACTGCATAGTTGTAGACTAAGTTGTAGCTGTGTTTTTTATTTATTTATTTATTTATTTATTTATTTATTTATTTATTTATTTTGCTTTCCCAAACTTTATTAAAGAAAAAGCAATGATGGAAATCTCTACAACATAATCAATTTTCTGGGATTCTTCCCTTGAAAATGTGATGTGTGATTCTGTAACACATGCCACAGTGTGCATGGTTCCCAACTCTACTAAATAGGTGAGAGGCTAAAATCCTAAAAGATTCATCTTCCAACTTTCCCCAGTCTGTGGTGTCTTTGGATCAGCAATAATTTCCTGAACAGCTACTATGGCTTCATTAATTGTTGTCTGTAGCTCTCTGAGCTCTTCTACAATATATGCAGCAATCGAAGAATTTGAGCAGTTTCATTAAGAACTGCATCTCCTGTGTCAAAACCAAGAATATGCTTGTCTAAAGCAACAGGCAACCCCTCTTTTGCTTGATTTGCTTTAGCAACTGCATTCTGTGTCAGGCGTTCCTGGACTAAAATGCGAATTACCTTAAGCATTACCAGGTAATCATCATGACGTTGAATCTGAAGAAGGTTAGCCAAAGCCATTATGCCAGCCTTAAAATCAGGATTATTAACATCCAAATTGATCAATGGCTCTGCATTTTTTTGCTGCATTGTCAACATTTTTTGTATTATCAGATACTGAGTCCTTATATTTTTCAGTGTTATCTCCATATTCAAGTCGAACTGCTAAACCAAGAAGCCATTCAATTGCTTCTTGTCGATCTTGAATCTTGAAAGGACAGCTAACATCTGTAAGATACTTTTCAAAGAAATTGGGCCAGTAATTGCTGTGGATGTTTCTTAAATTACCTCTGTCTTCAATCTTGTAGTGTCTGATTTTCTGGTCTTCAAGCCAAACAATTAAGTTTCTAAATTCTGTTTCATCTTTGCAGTTGAAGCCGGCGGGGTTGTGGTAGTCGAGGGCCGTCAGCTTGTGGTGGAACATGGTCCTGGGGTCCCGCTCTGCCCCCGGGCTGCGGCTGGGAGAGGAGGGGAGAGGAGCCTGTAGCTGTGTTTTTTAAAATTAGTAATGAGAGAAAAGAATCACCACAAAATTGGATTTTTAAACTTTATACTTAATTAAGAATTAAAGGGCACTTCAGTCATTCTCCTTCATGCTTATTCTCTGGTGAATAGGTATAACTCACATAAACAAAAGTCCTTTAAGATCTCTGCAATTTTTAACATACAAAGCAATTCTGGTGTCAAATTAAGTTTTAGAACTGCTGTTCTAATGAATAAGGGATTTTAAAAAGCATATGGACAGTACATTATTTACAATACCATAAACTTATAGCAATCCCTTAATATTAATTCTTAATATCCTTGCAATGTTCTGTTTGCCACAATTGATTTAAAAATTGATTTGTTGAAATTAAGATTCAAACAAGGACTGTGTATTTAAATTGGTTGATGTGCCTCCTAGTCTCAGATTTTCAACTATTGGCTATAGTAACTTTAAAAAAAAAATACATTTTATTGATTTTTTACAGAGAGGAAGGGAGAGGGATAGAGCTCTAGAAATATCGATGATGAGAGAAACAATGACCAGCTGCCTCCGCACATCCCTCACCAGGGATGTGCCTGCAACCAATGTACATGCCCTTGACCGGAATTGAACCTGGGACCTTTCAGTCTGCAGACCGATGCTCTATTCCACTGAGCCAAACCGGTTTTGGCTATAGTAACTTTTTATTGTTATTTGGGTTCATTTACTTCATTAAGTTGGCAAAATGGGGATTTTTCTACATCCCCCAATCCTTTTGTGATTCCTCAATAAAGAACTTTCTCTTACTACCTATTTGTATTTAGTATTCTAAAATACAGTTTGTACAAGAAAGGCAAAATAAACTATTAAATTCATCTTTTTACTTATTTTCGGAATGAGTTGGTGTCTAAGCTGTCATTAGAGATTCTCTTTCTTTTTGGAGTATTGTCATGAACTCAATTTTTTTTCTATTGTGTTTTAAATCATGGCAGTAATTCTTGGTAGTTACTGTCTATATTGTTAAAGAAGAAATGGAATGCTAAGCATGCAAACAAAGAAATAGAGGTGTGGGATGGGGTAGAAGGGTCTGTGGGTAAAGGGTGCTGTGATTTTTAGGAAGATAATTTTATAAAGGATAGTTTTAGCCTTTTTACAGAATTTATAATGTGAATATAAGTAACTGTCCTATATAATAAAAGACTAATATGCAAATTGACTGAATGGCCAGTTGCTATGATGCGTACTAACCACCAGGGGCAGACGCTCAACTCAGGAGCTGCCCCCTGGTGTTCAGTGCACCCCTTCAGGGAGTCTGTTATATTGAAATTTAGAGGAAAGAGTATTCAAAGAAGAGAGAATGAGGCAATGTGGCTGGAGCTTACTGGTGTTAGAAAATGAGATTGGATGTTGGCAGAGGCCATAATATAGACATGGTAAGGACTTTGGATTTTTGTTTGTTAATCCTCACTGAGGGTATTTTTCCATTAAAAATATTTTTCTTGAGACAGTAGAAGGGAGGGGGAGAGACAGAGAGGGAGAAACATTGATGTGAGAGAGACACATTGATTGGTTGCCTTCCACATGCATACTGAGAGGGGCCAGGGATAGAACCTGCAACTGAGGTAAGTGCCCTTGATCAGAATCAAACCCAGGACTCTATAGTCCTTGGGCTGATGCTCTATCCACTGAACCAAACTGGCTAGGGTGAGTTTTACTATTTAATAGGAAAATATTGGAGGGTTTTGATTGGGGAAATGATATAATTTTATTTGTTACTTTTTGGTCAGTGAAACAATAAGTATGTAGTACTTTTTTATTTTAATGATACTAGTACTGATGTCCTCCATTTCCTCCCACCTTTGTTCAGTTCCACCCAGCCCCTGCCCACCCCTGGCCTTCACCACACTGTTGTTTTGTGTCCATGAGCTATGCATATACATTCTTTGGCTAATCTCTTCTTTTATCCATTTCTCCATCCCCCTCATCCCCCTTCCCCCCGCCCCCATCTGTCAGTCTATTCCATGTATTTGTGCTTTTGGTTCTGTTTTGTTCATTAGTTTATTTTGTTCATTCATTAGATTCTACATATGAATGAGATCATATGGTATTCGTCTTTCTCTGACTGGTTTGGTTTACTTAGCATAATAATCTCCAGGTCCATCCGTCTATGCTGTCGCTAAGGGGAAGAGTACTTTTTTCTACACTCATCTACTGATGGGCACTTCGACTATTTGTAGATCCTATTGTAAACAACACTGCTATGAACATAGGGGTGCATATATTTTTTCTGTTTGGTGTTTCAGGATTCTTAGGATATATTCCTAGAAGTGAGATTACTGGGTCAAATGGCAGTTCATTTTTAATTTTTTGAGGAAACTCCATATTGTTTTTTTCCACGGTGGCTGCACCATTCTGCATTCCCACCAACAGTGCACTTGGGTTTCCCTTTTCTCCACATCCCCACTAGCTCTTTTTGTTTGTTGATTATATTTTATTTTATTTTTTAAACTTCTTTATTGATTAAGGTATCACATACTTGTCCTCAACCCCCATTCCAATTCCCCCACTCCCCTTTATGCCCCCATTCCTCTATTGTCCTTGACCACTGGTTAGGCTCATATGTGTGCACATAAGTCCTTTGGTTGATCTCTCCCTTTTATCCCCTGTTGATGATTATATTTTAAAAAGATCCTTGTGGCAGATAGGGATGAAGGAGGTGGGAGTTTTAATGACCATGAATTGAAAAGACTAATGCAGTAATACTTGAAAAAGAAGATAGATTGGCTAGACTGGGTATATGGAAAGTCTGGGGAAGAACAGGGTAAAGGGAGAATTAAGACTTCTGTTTTGGCTTTGTTAAATTTTGAGATGCCTGTTAGATATCCAAGTGGATGGTTCAAGAGCACAGTTGGATATCAGAATGTAAAGGTCAGGTTGGGCAAAAGATAAAATTTTTGGAGTTATTGTAAATAGATGTGACCAGATGAAAAAATCGGGGTAATAGTTTTGCAGCATTTTGCTGCATGGTAGAATCTCACAGGGATCTTTTTAAAAATGCCATCAGTTTGTGTTCATTTTCCTCCCAATTCTAATTTAATGCGAAAGACGTATTTTAAAAGTCTCCAAGTGATTTTGAAGTGAAACTGGTTTGAAAGTTAATAATTTAGTAGAGGAAGAATATATTAATAGATAGAGATTAGAAATATCATAGATAATATCATTCTGAGCTTTAAGTTATTCTAGGTTTTCCAAATGCAGTGTCCAGCACAGAATCAAGTGACTAGGCATTTGAGGCTATGAGACACCAGGAGTGACAACCAGGAGAAACAATAGAGGACAGGAATAATAAGACATTGTAACTCCAGACACTAGAATGTTTACTATGGTCTAGGTCAGCAATTTGCAATTGATGGGCTGCAAGGAGCACACTGGTATGCCGTAAGAATTTTTAAGACATACAATACCTGACTATATTGTCAGGGGTGCTGACCTCTTTTCCCTTATAATGTCAAATTAAAAATATGACAGCAGTCAACGCAACAATAGTTGTCCAGTGAAGGAATCAAGATTATACCTAATTTTTTATCACATCAGCAAAAAATATATTTTTTGGTGTGCTACAGAATTTCAGTAATTAGTTTATGTGTGCCATGAGATGAAAAAGGTTAAAAATTGTTGGTTTAGGTGGTAAAAGCCAAGCTTGAACAAATTTTAACAGAATTAGAAACAATCATTTTGTTTCCTCTGAAGCAAAAATTGCATAGCAGATTTGTTAAAGAAGCGAATAGAAATTCAGGAATGGAAACAACCAAATTGAGAAAATCCTTAGTGCTGAACACTAAAACAACTTCAACATTTAAAGGGCAAGAGAGAGAAAGCTGGCAAAGGAAACAAGGAGTTCCCAGGAGAGAGTGATAATTCTGAAAGCCAACTGAATAAACTACTTAAAGTAGGAGAGCATTCTTAATTTTTCAGATATTGTGGAGGGTACATAAGATGATAGAGAATGAGATTCTGGTTGTTGATGACAAGTGGTTTCAGTAGATTGCTGGGAAGTAAAGCCTGAGTAGAAAAAGAGGTTAAGGGAAGAAAAGAAGTATCTACAGTAATTATAGACAAATACTTTAAGTTTTTTCCCCCCTCTGTTAAGAGAAATATTGAAATAGAAGATGGTAGCTGGAGGTGGACTTGAGGTCACAGAAGGGCTTTTCTGGAAATGTCAGTAAAGAGTAGACATTGAGGCAGGAAGAGGAAGTTTTTAAGAAGGCAAGCAAAATGAAATATAGGATACAGGTATAGTGGTTGACCACATAATATTGTGGATAATCATGTTTTAATGGGAAAGACATCGATAGGATAGAGCTTTGCAGATGCAGATAAGTTGGTAGGAAGATAAGGTAATTATTGTCAGATTTCTTCTTTCCTTTTGTATTAAGAAACAAGCTGAGATGGATGAGTAGGGCAATGGTTAGAAATTTAAGAAGAAAGGAGGTCTGAACTGGTTATCTTGAGAGAACTGGAAAGTGAAATTGCTGGTGAGATGTAGAATTGCAAGGGTTACTGGGTGTCACCCCAAGTAATTAGCACAATTGTGTTATTTCTCCAGTTACTTTTAGCTGCTCAACTTAACCTCCAGTCATGACAATAAAAAATGGCTTCAGGCATCCCCTGGGGATCTTGAAACATATACATCACAGATAAAAGAGAGACTACTATAAATTTTTTTAAAAAAAACTTTAAATGCACCAGAGAGAGTAGAGGCTTGAAAACAGTTTCAATGTTATTATAATAGCCTAGGAAAATAGTAAAAGCCAGATTAACAGCCAAAATCGGTTTGGCTCAGCAGTAGAGCGTCGGTCTGCGGACTGAAAGGTCCCAGGTTCGATTCCAGCCAAGGGCATGTGCATTGGTTGCGGGCACATCCCGGGTGATGAACACAAACTGATGAACACAAACTGATGGCATTTTTAAAAAGATCCCTGTGAGATTCTACCATGCAGCAAAATGCTGCAAAACTATTACCCCGATTTTTTCATCTGGTCACATCTATTTACAATAACTCCAAAAATTTTATCTTTTGCCCAACCTGACCTTTACATTCTGATATCCAACTGTGCTCTTGAAGCTGCTCAGAATGCAGATGTAGGGTTAACTTCTCTGTTTCCTGTTAGAAAAATATAGGCCCTTTTTGTTTTATGTCTGCCATACATTTTTTGTTGTTGTTAATCCTCACCTGAGGATATTTTTCCGTTGATTCTTAGAGATAGTGAAAGGGAGGGGGGAGAGTCCTAGAGAAACTGTCAGTGGATTGGTTGCCTCCTGCACATGCCCCCACTAGGGCTGGGATCAAGCTTGCTATTGAGATGGTGCCCTTTCACCAGAATTGAACCAGGTACTCTTCAGTCCGAAGACCAATGCTCTATCCATTGAGCCAAATCAGCTAGGGCTCTGCCATATTTTTGTGACCTGTTCTCCTCTTCATTCTCCTTTTGTTAATCTGGCTTTTTTTTTTTTTTTTTTTTTTTTAAATATATATTTTATTGATTTTTCTTACAGAGAGGAAGGGAGAGGGAGAGAGAGCTAGAAACGTCGATGAGAGAGAAACATCGACCAGCTGCCTCTTGCACACCCCCTACCCGGGATGTGCCCGCAACCAATGCACATGCCCTTGGCTGGAATCGAACCTGGGACCTTTCAGTCCGCAGACCGACGCTCTACTGCTGAGCCAAACCGATTTTGGCTGTTAATCTGGCTTTTACTATTTTCCTAGGCTATTATAATAACATTGAAACTGTTTTCAAGCCTCTACTCTCTCTGGTGCATTTAAAGTTTTTTTTAAAAAAATTTATAGTAGTCTCTCTTTTATCTGTGATGTATATGTTTCAAGATCCCCAGGGGATGCCTGAAACCACGGATAACACCAAACTCTCCATATACTATGTTTTTTCCTGTACATATATACCTATGATAAAGTTTAACTTATAAACTAAGTACATTAAGAGATTAACAACAATAAAATAGAACAATGACAACAATATACTGTATTAAGATCTATGAATGTGGTCCCAAAATATTTTATTGTAATATATTCACCTTCTTTTGATGATCTGAGTTGATAAATATCAATGTGATGAGATGAAGTGAGGTGAATGATGTGAGCAGCATCTTCTACACAATTAGATGAAAGGAGCACCCCTTAACCTCCAGTCATGACAATAAAAAATGGCTTCAGATATAGCCAAATGTCCTCTGGATAGCAAAATTCCCTTTTCCCTTTGAGAACCATGTGGTAAATGGTATGTATGTATCTTAGTATTGAACTTTAGTAACAGAGAGTAGAGATTTAATCTTCCCACTAATGTCTTTTAAGACTTAGCTCAGATACTTTCTTGTCCCATTGCCTTTCCTGACCCCCTGCTTGTTTTTAAATTGCTGCCACTTTAATAGCACCCATATTCTTCTGTGTTTTACATAACATGTTTGTCTTTTTTTGGAATTCAGCAATAATTTCTTATTCAATTTTCTGTTTTTTTGTGTTTTTTTTGTGTTTTTAAGAAATGAAGAAATATCAGTAATAGACAGAATAAATATAGATTTGTGGGATAACACATAATGTAAATTTTGCCTACTTGCTTTTGAAATAATTAACATTGTTCAGATGCATGGTACCTGTTTATTTCATTCAATTGTGTAATTGTATTAATTTTTACCTTTTTAAAACCTACTGCCATTTAGAATTATTTCAGAAACCATCCTATATAAGGAGGGGAGGAGATGGGAGACAAGAGAAGTAAAAAGAATTTTAAATTTAGTCTTGCTTACATATGAGGGAATTTAGAAGACTTAAATGTCTCCACTATAACTTTCATGTATTGTAGAATAACATGATGAGAGAATTTAAAAATGTAAGTTTTTTAATCTTTGAGCAGTACATACTGGAATATTTGTGGATGAAATGTTATGTCTGGTATTTGTTTCAGAATAGCACAAGAGGTAGTGTGGGATGTAGCTGAACAATTGTCACAACTGGGTAATGGATACCCTGGGCTTTGTTATAATCTACTTTCATATAAATTTAAGGTTTTGCTATAATAAAAAGGTTTTATCCTCTCCTGTTTTTGGTTAGTGGACATTTTGGATTATAATTTTTAAAAAGAAAACAATATGCAAGAAAGATTAGACTTTAATTTTGATATCAAAATTCCCTGTGATGTTTGGGTTAGTGAGTCTTGCTCATAGTTAACAGCTTGGTTTGGGTGTGAATACTTGTTT